CCTTGGTGAGCACCTCCACCTTCCGCTTCACAGCCACCGGCCGGGACATGGCTTCGAGACAAGTCTCCGAAAAAGGGGTCGGCCGAATTGTCCTTTCTGTACTCCGAAGCCTCAATTCGGCCGAGGCCATTTAAGGACCGAAAATCCGGGGTTCCAAAAATCCCGGCTGCTCGGGCTGCCTTTGGATCCGGTTCCCAAAGTCGACTGTCCCTATCTGCCACGTTCATTTCTGAAGGTACCCATCTAATATGCACCCGAGTCCCTGAGGCCAGGAGGTGAGCACTTACTCGGCGCACCACTCGAAGCAAGCCAAAGTTACAGCACCTGCCCTTCTGCATTGCCAGCACAACTCCCATGTTATCATTTAGGATCACGTGCTTCTTCCCATGGGTGCGGCTGTCTCGGACAATATGCTTGACTGCCCCAAGAATGCTCCTAGCCTCAATCATATGAACAGGCTCCTTGTGGTGCACAGGGGTGCACCAAGTCCTCGACCACTTGCTGTCCTCCATGACCTCGGGCAAAACATCAGGAAACGAGGGAGCGACCTCCACGGGTCGGGGAACTTCACCATCGACTTCAGGAAGAACTGTGAGAGGATCCGAGAACACCCCCGCAGTGTCAAGGGCCTGGCGCCTCGGAGCATTCACGTAGCCCTCGCCAAGCCGGAAACGCCACCTTTCATCAAGCCGGAAACGCCACCTTTCATCATTTCGGCCGATCTCTCTCACAATGGACTCCCCTTGACAACTCGACATCACCGCGTATCCACTCAGGCAGGCGTCGGTGCAAAACATGGTGGAACTCCATTCTTGCTTTATGCTGCCTTGACCCAGAGTCATGAGGTGACGAAACATGTAAAGCTCCTGCCTCACGCTGCCCACAAAGCTGTACGGACCTCATAGTTCTGTTCGATGAACGCATAGCAGTGACGCATAATCCCCATAAGGCCCCGGTGCAAAAGTGCTCGTACTGTAATGTGTCCCACAATGACCTGCAGCTCCTTTCCTGAAAGCTTCACCCGACCATTGCAAGCACCCAAGCACGGTCCAATCGCCAATCCCTCTTGGGCGTGGGCCCCACTGTCCCGCTGAGCCCGTCGATGCGAACCCCCAGGCTCTCGGCGAGATTGCTTGGTGCCTCCACGTCATGTGTGTCGAGACCACATCTGTGCAAAGTTCCCATGACAACATCTTGGTCGGACTGCACACACTCCCTGTCAATGCCCACATGATTGTTATTGTCAGCATAAATGAGCATGGCTGTCAAGCCGTCGCCACCTGCATGCTGCAAACGGGGAGCCACCGAACGGTCTCGAAGGAGCTTCACCTGAGGCAGGGCTTGGTTGGCCAGGTACGTGTGAGCCTGGTGCGCCAAATGGAAGGCCCAAGAAAAGCCCATGGGAAGCACCGCCATACACGGAAATATCGGCGCCTCATGGGCGTCAATCAACTCGGCAACCTCCTTTGGCAAGGTCCCCATGACCTCCATCAGGACCTGTGGGTCAATCACGGGAAGGCTGAAGAACTCACCTAGCTCTAACGAAATACCGAGTCGGTAGAAGTAGTCCTTCACATCCTCCTGCGCAATAAACACATCAGCATCCCGGGGCACCTCCAGACGAGTCCATGTATCGACAGATCCAAGCAACGTGGAAGGCGGGGTGCGAAAGAGTCTGTTTGTACGTCTTGCGTCTATTATCAGCCTCTGTTTGTTGTTTTTCTTTGTCACTGCGAAAGCTCCTATCTGTACCTTCGGGCTGCAAGTGAAATGGAGCAGGTTGCAGGCATATAGCTCGGCAATGAAGCGATGGTATTCCCGGCTGTTGTGCTGCAACACCGGATCCAGGAAGCACTCATCCGAAAACCCCCGCTCAATCACTGCAGCCCTCTCCTCGGGAGAAAGAAGCATCTTTTCTTCAAAATCCCTGAGTCTTTCCGCGTCCTCCTGGGGCAAGATCTGCTCCAAGGACACGGGACACTGTTGCCCCCTCGGCAGAGAAAGTCGATCCACCACGAGGCTCGCGAGACTTCCTGGGCTGTCTCCATAACCAGCCCGTTTTGCCAGAAGCTGCCGCAGCGCTTCTTGTTCGGACATCCGTTCCACAGGTCGGGGCCGTTGAAGATGGCTCTGTACAATATGTTTTTGGCTCGCCGCCTGTGCTTGATTCTTTGGAAAAGAAGGCCAGTCCCGCTCATCTGGAAAACCAGCCAGCTGGTTCAGGCAACGCACTGATGCTCTAGCCCTCCGCAGCGCAAAATGTCGAAAGCCCACTCTCTGCTGAGCCCTCCTCGCAAAGCGTGATCGCCCCCGAAGTGCTCATCACACGGCAAAGGCAGAGGAAGTAGGTCCCCGTGCCGAACCTGAGCAGTACAAAAATCCTTGGTGCTCGAAAAATTTTCCCGAGCCTGGTCCCCCGCACCCCTGGAGCCAGGCCCACCTGAAGGTCTAGGGGTTGCTAGGCGCCCCGGGGGCGCCTGGCTTGATCTTGGCCTTCGGCTTCGGCTTATCCGGATCGCCATCCTCCTCTCCTGGGTTCAGCCGTCTGCGGTGCTTCTTTTCTTCGGCCGCCAGCCTTTGCTGCTTCAGCACTTCGGCCTTAGATGCAGCCCTCCGTGCAGCGTGCTGCGTGAGAGCCGGGTCTATGATTGACCCGTCTGCGCTTTCACGAACTCCTAAAAAGTCCTCTGCCCCCTCGTAGCTTGGCGCTTCGGGGCGGCCCTGATGTGCAAACTCGATGAGCGTGCGCCGCCGATTCAGCGCCTCTGCGCTGGCCAGCGCGGCCAGGTTCAGCTGGTCGTACGAGAGCATCCAGTTGAGGGCCCGGCATATGCTGGCGTGCTCGTGCACCGATCGGTCCGTTGTGCGCACCCCGGACTTTTTCAGCCAAGCTTCGTGGTGCAACAAGAAATCGAGGCCTGATCGGCGCAATTGGCGAAGATCACGAAACATCGTCCTTGGTCCAGAAAGTGGGAAGTCTTCGAACTCAACTTCCTCCAGCTCGCCAATCGCCTCCTGGAGCGTGCGCCATCGTTCATCCCCAGCATCGTAAAGCACCGGAAGCACGCGCACATCCCTGCTCGCGCTTCCGGGGACTGCGGTCTTTAGAAGCGCCTTTCCGGCTTCCAGGCTCTCCCTTGCAAAACGGCGGGCCAAAACCACTCCCTGGCTAGCATCCTCACTGAGGAATAAGGCATACTTTTCCCCCCCAACCGTGAGGCTGTCGATCCCCGCCGGAAGCACTACCTCTTCCCCCACGGCCGCGGGCTTGCTGGAAGAAAAAGCCACAAGCCACGTGAACCCAGAAGATTCGCCGTCCTGCTCGCTAGGATAGCTGCGCACCGGCACGGCCTTTGCCTTGGCTCCTCCGTCCGGCAAGTAGTCGATGCCATCGGGCCCCACTTTTCCGGAGATGCGCACTCGACGCCCTCCGTCCCGAACTCGTTTTTGAGCCATAAGGTGCAACTGAAGGATCTCCTCTTGGTTGAAGTCGCCATCCGGACTGTGCCTAGGAAGATAGGTTTCCCCCTCTCGCACGCCCCGAGGAAGCCGCCCCAAATGCATCCGCCTCACCTCCGAAAACACCTCGCCCTCAACCAACTGAACGTCGTTGATGTCACGATCCGGAGTGGCAACCAAGCAATGGTCACCTCCTGGGCATAGCAATACGAGCCTGTAGTGTAGAAGTGCCGGGTCATCCACGAAGCGAACGAGCGCGGAGTCTTGCGGCAGCCACCTCGGCGCTAGGTCGCTCATCTTCGCTGGCTATTGGAAGCGCTTCGACTTCCACTGTCACCTGGTCGTTCGGCCTGGCTTTTCCCTTCAAGGCAGGGACGGTCAGCAATGGCAGGATGACTCGCCAGAAGATCCCTATGCAAAAGACGACCCCGAACACGAATCCCAGGAGGGCCCCCACGACCCCAACCAGGATGGATTGGCAAGCAGGCTCCTTTTCAGCCTGGGCTGCCCCCAGCTGGAGCAGGCAACTCTCCTTCTCCTTCTTGCAGCTCCGTTCAGCCGATCTCAAGAAATCCGAAGAAGATTGCTTACACCCGCCACGCTGTTCGGCAAGCCAGACAAAGAGCACTCGACTCAAGTCGACGGCCGCCGCCCGAATCAGGTGCCAATCCATCCGAAACTAAGCCTACCAGCTGAAAGACTTGAGAAGAGTATTTCGGTACAGAACATTCACATGCCGCCATCAAAACCCCACTTTGTAGGACTATGCACGTTGAAGGCGCAATAGACGACAAGCAAGTGTGTGCTATCCACGGTCTTGTGAGTACTGCGGAAAAGACATGCAAAACCAGGCCAATCATTGAGGTCAGAATTTAGAAAATCAGCCTAACAGTACAGCAAACAGAACCGTGATGGCACTTGGTAGTTACTGGCGGTGAACCGCTAAACCCTAAAGCCTGAACTCGAAAGCCCCAGTTCAAGACCATCACAAATCATGACACCCCACCAAACAGAAAAGCACCACACCACAGCACCATTCTCCTGATCATCTCGTTTACCGGACCACTCCATAGACACTTCAGGGTTTCGGGTTTAGGGTTTAGGATAGTGTAGGATCCTAACCATAAAATTGGTTAACCAAAAAAAGGAACCACAATGCAGACTATAGGCAAAGCCTCAACTGCGAAAGTTGAACCTTCGACTGGGACATCAGGGCTAGGCCACAGAAGGGGCCCCCACCCTGTAATAGTGACCATAAGGATTATATAGGGTTATAGTAGGGCCCTTTTATATTCCTATTATGCCACTATTACAGGGTGGGGGCAGCTTCTAAGCTATGCCATACAAGCCCCACGGGCCATAAAGAATTCAAACACTCCAACAAGGCCTAGATAGCCAGTAACCTGGTACGTCAATTCTTCAAACGCATCTGAGCCCTCAGCCCATCTGAAATTTACTCTCCAGGTGTTGACGATTTAGGGTCAACTTCAGACCCTAAACCCTCAACCCAGCTCCCCAAACAGCCGTACTTGGCTCCCTGCCCTCTCGGCTGGCGATCTCCCCCAAGATCTCATGCACGATGACATCCACGGGCTCGGGGAGGTTGAGCTCCTACACCCAAACCCTTAATGTAGGGGCCTTAAAGTTATCTCAATACTATTTTTGGGGGGGCTCCTTATTATAGCTGTAGTATAAGATACCCGAAAAACCCTGTTCTAATGATTAAGGCCCCCATATTCATGACCGTTTGGGGGTTTGCAGTTTAGGGGTCGGGGTTAAGTTAGCCTTCAACCCCAAAACTTGTGCCTGAAGCCCTAATCCCCTCGCCCCCACAAGCGGCTCCAGGATATTAGGGCCATTGGAGCACGGGGATTCCCTGGGATTCTTACGAGTTCTGTTCGGATCGTAGTATAGGGCCCTACTTAGAATATGTATCCTTACTTTTAATCGCCATGGGGTATGATTTTGGCAGTTTTTTCAGGCCACCAGAAGTAGTGGCTTAGGGTTGGGATCGTAATTCAAGGTTGGGGGTTGATCGCGGAGCCACGCCAGATTCCGTGACATGTCCGTGTCGGGCCCGTGCGCCTCTACTTCTCCAGTTCTATAAATGTATCAAGAAACCCTGGCCCTTTCACATCAAAATGGTAGGGCTCGTATACACTAATAAAATCCAGGGTTCCTTACTCAGGTTCCTATATATATATATATATGCAATTTGACAAGCTCAAGACCATACTCCAAGCATCAAGTCAAGGCCCCGATAGCAATGCCCCCTGCGAAGCTTCCAATGCCTAAACGCTAAACCCTAAACCTTAAAACTCTATAATCCTTCAACCTTGGCTCTTTTCATTGTCGTATATTGCCCTAATCCCTATGCCCTATCCCCAATAAACTCTAAACTCTTAACCCTAAACTCTAGGCCCCAAACTCTAAACCCAAACTCTAAGCTCTATAACCCCAAACCCCCCAAACTCGAAACCTTAAGCCCTCAACTCTGCATGGGTGGTTGTCAATATTATGGTCCCTTTTTGGGTCCTTATTATAATACGGCACCTAGTTTTTAGGGATCCCCAAAAGGGGACATACTGTTGACAACTGCCCGTCTATGGTCTTCTATTGAACTTTAACCCCAAAACTTTAAGCTCCATAAACCCTAGACTCGAAACCTTGAGCAGTCAACTCTGTGTGTGGTATATACCTTAAGTCATATTAAGGATCCTACTATAATTTAAAGTATATTCCTTAATTAAGGGATATTGGAGTCTCTGGGTAGAGCTCTCAGAGACTCCTTGGAGTCGCCGAGAAGCAGAGACACCTTCGAGGAGAAGCCGGCGGCTTCCTGTAGCTGTCGATGTCAAGTCTGTAAGGGCACTATACTTAGTAACTAGGGTTCCTTAAAGGGCTCCTTAAAGGGATCTATAAGGGGTTCTTAAAGGGATCTATAGGGTTTAGGGTTTAGGGTCTACTTAAAGGATCATGGGACTTAGTAACTAAGGTTATAATTAGGGTAGCTATACTTATAAGCCCAATTAGGGTACTTATAACCTTACTTACTAAGTCCCATGATCCTCCAAGTAGGGTTCCTTTAAGGGTTCCTTTACCGGGCACTATAGGGATTCCTTTAAGGGTCCCTAAGGGACTGTAGGGGCACTATAGGGTTCCTTTCGGGGTTCCGTTAATGCCTCCTTTAAGGACATCTGTAAAGGCACTATAGGGTTCGTTTCAGGATTCCTGTAAGGGTTCCTTGAAGTGTCTGTAAGGGCACTGTAGGGTTCGTTTCAGGATTCCTTGATTCCTTGAAGGGTTCCTTGAAGGGTCTCTGCAAGGCACTACAGGGTTCGTTTCAGGATTCCTGTAAGGGTTCCCTTAAGGGTTGCTGCAAGGGTAAAGGGTACTATAGGGTTCCTTCAAAAGTTTCTGTAAGGGCACTATAGGATACTATAAATACTATAGGATTCCTTTAAGGGCTCCTGTAAGGGTTTCTGTAAGGGCAAAGGGTGCTAGAGGGTTCTCTGAACCACTCAGCCGCCGGCAATACTTTCAGCTGCTCGCTGAGCAGAGCTCTCGGAAACCTCGACCTAAGAGTTTGGAGGGCCTAGGGTTTGGGGGTTTAGGGTTTATGGGTTCAGGGTTTATGGGTTTAGGGGTTATGGGTTCAGGGGCTTAGGGGCTTAGGGGTTTAGGGGTTTAGGGTTTAGGGGTTTAGGGTTTATAGGGCTTAGGGGTTTAGGGTTTGTAGAGCTTAGAGTTTATAACCTAAGCTCTGTGGCTCGGGGTTGTGGACTTCGATTAGAAGGCTTGGGGCATACCTTCAGCCTCCTTGTGGTTCCTTGTTTGGGCCACCTTACAGGATCCAAAATACAAAAACGTGACACTGCGATGGAGACAGTAGGTGGGAGTTTCCGAATAAAGGGGACCCTAATATAGTACCCTAAGAAGTAGGATCCTTACTATAAGGGACACAAAATAAGGTACCCCTAATCTCGGTAGGGTTCAGGGTTCAGGGTTTCGGCATGTAGGCCCAATACAACCTAAGCGCTACACCCTAAGCCCTTATGTCTCGCCCGATATCCCGAAAACCCTAACCCTAAACCCCTAAACCCTAAATCCCTAAACCCTAAATCCCTAAACCCCTAAACCCTAAATCCCTAAACCCTATACCGCCTATACCCCTAAACCGCAAACCCCACACATCCAGACCAGGTTGCAGCATAGACGCGCTTCGCCCCCGCCTTCAGAAGCTTTGTAGTGTTCAGGGGTCGGCTAGACCCAAGAGTAACCTAGGAAAAAAAAGGGTAACCTTTTTGGTTTAAAGGGGCTTATAAGGGAACCTGAACCCTAAAAAGGGAATAAGGGCCTACTCTAGGTCCCAGTCGGGGTTTAGAGATGATAGGGTGTATGGATTTGAGCAGTTCATTGCGACCTACATATGTGTTGACTGCTTCTTTGAGCCGTCTGGCTCCTAAAATCGAAACCCCAGAACCCCTGAAACCCCAAGCCCGAAACCCCAGCACTCTAAGTGTTTGAACCCTGAACCTTTAGGGTTTGGGGGTTTAGGGTTTAGGGGTATAGGGTTTAGGGATTAAGGGTTTAGGGGATTTAGGGTTTAGGGTTTATGGGTTTAGGGCGTTTAGGGGTTTAGGGCGTTTAGGGGGTTTAGAGTTTACGGGTTTAGGGGTTAGGGATTAGGGCATTCGGAGTTGTGGAAAATTGCCGATGTGAAAAAGTTTTGCCTCCAGGCCACAGGAGCTTTCCCTTCTTGACAGGAGCGTTGGGTACGGCCCCCATACAGTAACAGTCTATATACTATTAAGGGCCTTATATATCTATATTATGAATATTATGCAGGCAGTACCCAACAGGAGCATTTAATTAGTCATCCTACCTGTAACTCGGAGACTAGCCCAAGCCCTACTTGAACTACCGCGGGTCCCTATAAATTCTACTTTCGGATTCAGCATAAGAACCTATTAAAAGGGAGGTTATGGTTGCTTGAGGTAGGGTTTCGACTTTCAGAAGCCTGGTTGGTCTGGAATCGAAGATCGCAGCCAGGGAGCTGTGGTGAGATAAAGGTCTGCGGACCAAAATCAGTGCACGAAGTAGGCTAATACAGGGGCCTTCATGATGAGAAAAGGGTTTTGGGGCTCCTTTTAAGGGTGCTTTAAATGGTTCTATTGGGGATCTATAAGCGGGTTCTATTATGTAGGGGCCTTAATAATGAGACTTGTGCTTGGGGAGCGGGGGTACATTGTAGTATAAACATATGTAATAATAAGGAACCCCCAAAATAGTAGTGGTAATTATTTAAGCCCCTACATGTTACCGCATTTTGCCAGATTCTACGAAATTACAACGTTGCAGATTCTGCTCTAGCCAAGATTGCAATAGATGTTATATTAACTACATCATACTCTACTATAGTCTAGCTTAATGAGTCTATTAAATGTCTACTTCGTCTACCAGACTGTATTGTGCTATGCTAAGTTTACTATAATGTCCCATCAGAAAACTGAAGAGAGGCCCCAAACGCCCTGATTCCACGACTCAAGGTCGTTGCCGTCAGAAACCAGACTCGAAAGCCAAAGTTCTGTTCTAGCACATACATCCAACCCCGCTAAGCCTGCCTAGCACGGAATTACCCACTCCTGTATCAAATTTACCGCATGACAGGACTTTGCGGCCAACAACAGAACTTCCCTCTTTGCAGAAAACTAGGCGACCTCGGGAATCATGTGCCTGCATTGATGTTCAAACTGCAGGTAGCCTGGGCTGCCCGGATAGCCAACAGCGCGGTGGCGCCGGTGCCTTTGCCACGTCTTCGCTTCGAAGTTTTTGTCGGCTAAGACCTATAGGGCCTTAACAACCAAAGGGTTCTGTACGGGGCTTACTATAACGGGCCCATACGGGTTCTACGATACAAGGGCATTAACAACCAGACTGGGGTATCGAAGCATATCGTGGAAATGAATTCCGGGACTGCCATGGTGTGCTCCCACAGATTACCTAAACCCTAAACCCCTAAACCCTAACCCCTGAAACCCGGAACCCCAAGCCCCTAAACCCCAAGCTGTGGATCATGCGGATGGAACGGTTGGGCTTCGGCTGAGCGCCAGGAAGCACTCCCTCAGTGCTGATCTTGGGATAAATAGAACTGAAGGTACGCGAAGAACGTACATGTCGTATGGTTGGGCTATGGCACCTCCAAATACAAGCTCAACTCAAGGACGGTGATTGCGACGAACAACTCAGCTTTTAGGGGAAGAGGGGCTCGAAGCCCAAGTCATCACTGAACCCAACAACTGGCAAATCATTCGAGAGGACATCCTTCTGAGGCAGACCTATGCAGAATCGCTCGGTTCCTGAGTTCATGGATTGGGGGGGGGTGGGTTGGGGGGGGGGGGGGGGGGGGGGGGGGGGGGGGGGGTTAACCTTATCCTTACACTAGCCTAAGCCTGGACATCTTGGGATGTCCAAGGGGGATAAGCTGGAAGTCTTTGGAGAACCTGCTTCATTAGGGACGGCAGCCAGCAGCAGGCTTGTTTTCGAGTGCTCGGAGCAACTTGGTGACGCGAGTTTGAGACTGCAAGACTTCAGCCAATTATTCAAGCCAAACTGGAGCTGAAACGTTTGGTTTTCTAGCGTGTTTATTGACATTACTCAGAGTAATTAGCCCCTTTACCATAAAGATACCGGGTTTAGGGTTTAGGGGTTTAGGGTTTAGGGGTTTAGGGTTTAGGGTTTTCCTTCTATTCAGAGCAAAAGGGTACGTACTGCTCAGGACCTTAGACAAAGCCAGGCCCAAACCACTTCAGATCAATGTTTGTGAGTGGCAAGGTTGGCACTAAGATTTAGCTGGGTGATATAAGTCGTAGTAGAAAACAAAACTTATGTGTGTGTGTATATATACATATATATATATATATATGTATGCGCACACACACACACACAGAGGCAGGTGAAGGTGATCATGATGGTGGCGACAACGGTTGTGCTAGTGAAAACTATGAGGAAGAGGAGCATGACGATCGGGATGACCCTACCGATGAAGATGGCGAGGACACTGACAATGACGAGATGCTCTTAGTCAAACTGGATTGCAAGACCCGACCTAGACATCTGAATCAACTTTAGATTGAACCCAAACGTTAGACCGTTAAGGGGACGCTTTGCCGCCAAAGCACCCAGATCCAACACAACGCGGTCAGGACATAGATCGTCAATAGCCTGGTCGCCAAGTCTCGTAATCCAATGTCGGGGTCGCGATAAATAGTAAGAGATAGTAATAGTATCCCCTTGCAATCCCTCTATGAGTGAAGCATCACGTGCCCCAAAATTCTTTTCCAAGCATTGGGCACCTTTCGCCATGGAACCCCGCATAGAAGCCTGTAACGTATTCTAATCATGAAGGCCCTGTACCAGGGTATGGGGCGATGTGTAGTCTCGAACGTCGAACGACCCCCAAAGAACCCTACAGATCCCTGTCATGGAAGCTGACACATGCCTGTCATACAACCCTGAAGGTTTAATTTCTATGACAGAAGCCGACACATTGTTACATGTCGTGCGGACCATTTTTGGATCTGAACCGCGACACCCTAAACCTCATAAATCCCTAAGCCCTATACCCTATATAATCCCTAGGCCCGCCTTGTAGAAGGCGTTGGTGCGACTGGAATCAAGCTTCATCGCCTCGTAATCCCCAGCGGAGAACCTCAGATTCGCCAGCATTGCCTTTATAAGGGTTGCTTTTGGGGCATTAGAGAAGCTGCTATAAGGGTACTGTAAGGGCTACTACTATAAGGGCTACTATGAGGGTACATGCTTGGCAAGTGAGGGTGTTTAAGGTGTTGGGGTTTAAGGTTTTTTGAAGACTCAAAGGGCTTCAGGAGGGTGTTTTCGGGTTTTATCATTCACTGGGCTTCGCGGTTTTGGTACAGGTTTGTGGGATATTGAGGGTTCTGGGCATACAGGTTTTAAAGGGGTGATAGTAAACCCCAAAAAGGTGGAAGCGGTAGGGTCGATTAGTGCTGGGATTCCGTACGAACTCTGAAGGATTGAGGCTATTCGGTTTCCAACTTTTGGGCTTCTACCCTAGGGGCTTGGCCGTGGAGGATTTAGGGCTTAGTATTAGTTAATGCCGGTCTTCTGGGAGCACGGCAGTTTAAGGTTTGAGGTGTAGGGTTAGGGGACTTGGGGTTTAGGGAATGCGAGTGTAAGGTTAAGGGTGAAGGGATTAGGGGGGGGTTGACTTTGGGATTCGGGGGACTTCATACCAGGGCGATGTACATGCCTTCGCAATTGGAACAGGGTTCGGAGGCTCTACTGTGTGTATCTATAGAATTATGTGTGTGTATATATATATATATATGCAATATACGTATATATGGTCAGGCGTCTAGCGTTCCCAGCCCCCCCCCCCCCCAATGGTATATGGTCTGACAGGGGTGGGGGGGGGGCCTGGCGTGTGCGGAAAGGGGTTGGGGGCTGTTGGAGCTGCCGCTGGATGGTGGGGTGGTGCTGGTGGCCAGGGCTCACGCACAAGCCCTTGGCAAGCAAGCCGTAAACCCTATAACGCAGCGTGTGCCCCTGTTTTGAGCAACCTTAACTTGTACTTAAAACGCTGCACCATGCTGCACCCAACCTAAACCCCACCTAACTGCAGGCTCTAAGCCTAAATTACTAAAGCAGAGCATACACCGCAAATCCTGCCTAAGCCCCTTGTCGACTCGAAGCCTTATACCTTATAACCGTAAACCCAAAACTCAAAAGCTTAAGCTAAACCAAAAACCCAAAACCCCACAACCACCCAACAGGGGGAAGAGGAACCCCACACCCCACACCACAGGGGAGGGGGGGGCCCCACCCTATATCCGGACCATTGACCTTTGGGGGGGAGGGGGCGGGGGGGCTGCGGAGCGCGTGACCATATATATACACATACGGAAGATGGTTTCTCATTCATATAGACTCTACAGACATATTTTGTAAGCACACATACGATACAGCCATACGGACGGTTTCTCCAAACATGTAGACCTACTCTGTATTGCGGTCAAGCGATTCAAGCGACCGTTCAGGCGCGCTTGTCGTCGCAAAATTCCACTCCCTGTGTTTTATGCCACACACAGACTTCAACGCCGCAGGCGGTCGCAGCTGAAATGCCAAGGAGTAATGTAGGAACCTGATTGAGAAACCTTGGGCCTTGATTAGTGTTCCTTATATGAATCCTACTATGTTGGGGTTGTAGGCCCAGGGTTTCTAAAATCAGGTTCCTACATGAAGGTCCCACATGTGGCAATTTCCTGGAGATGAGCGGAGACCATGCATCTGACGCTGAAGTTGCACCTGGGTACCTGGAACTTACCATAATAACGTACATGTATAGTCGTAGCTGTGCATGGAAATATGTGGGGGCTGAAGTGGGGATGTACCAAGGGTTTCCGTGTCCGTGAGCTCCTGCTTCAGGCCCCTGAGCTGTAAACCCTGGCTCCAGATCAGGGTTTTGGTTTTTTTAAGGCCTTTTTCCACCTGCGGAATCTCTGCACGGTTTAGGTGTTTAGGGTTTAGGCTTTCAGGGACATAGATCGGATAGGCTTATCGGCTGTTGAATTCTAATGCCTTTGAGCGCCACGGGGCAAACCCAATACCCTTTAGTCATGAAGCGGAGTATTGAATCAAGTGTGGATATACATTTATGTACATACATACATATATATATAAATTCATCTATTTATTGTGAACAGCCCTTGTACTGTAATGCGAGTTCCTTACAAGGCGTACTAGGGACGTTTCTCCAAGCTCAAAGGCAAGACGCACTGCGAAAGCGAAGACCGGGAGTGCCGCCAACGAAAGGACCATCGCCAGCTTGGCCAGATCCTCTCTCGTGGCGAGTGCTTCCTACCTTCTGGAGGGTTTAGAGCTGAGGGTCATATATAGTTCATATATACGTTATCTACTATAATTATGCCTGCATTTTGGGTTTTAGGTGTTTAGGGCGTGAGGTTTAGGCACTTGACTGATGGGGCTGATGAGGTTCCCCTCTCGCACAAACTAAGGTTTGTTTGAACTATGTAGCCATATGGGCCTTGATACTGCAATATATAAGGCTTCTCTGAAGGGTTCCATAGAGGATCCATAACTGAAATGTGTTGAAGGACATTTTATTATAGCGGTGCAGGGACTCTAAAAGCAAAAAGGCTATCAAGTATGCTTTGCCCTTGTAGTCGACTTGCATAAGGCTTTTGATGCGGATTTACGAGGTTTCATAGGCAAAAGGCCTCATGGCCAAAAGAATGAACATGAAATCTAGAAGAGCCCAGGAAGCAGGGCTTTCATTCCAAGTATCCCCAGAAGGCAAACCTAAACATGAACTCGCTGATGCTCTTGAGGATCGTTTTTCTGACCAGTTCTCTAAATTGGGTCCCTTTCCAGGTTCCAGAAACAGTACCCCTAAATGGGACCCTAATTTTGACAACTACCCATACACAGTCGAAGCCCTAACATAACACAGCGCCCGTCGGTCCCAGAAGACTCCGGCGCTGTGTCGGCGACGCCTGTCGGTCGGCGCAAGCCCCCAAGTCTGACCCTAAACCCGAATAAAGTAAAAGCCAGAAAGTTGGAATATGATTATCCTAAACCCTTTATGGTAAATTATAGGGTATCCTACCCTGAAACCATATTCCAACTTTCTGGAGTTCCCTTTAGAATGCCAAAAGCCTATCCTAATATATTCTACTACCCTTGCGGGCTTGGACAAGAAGAAAAAGACTCCCAAGGAGAACCCCAAATACGAGACGGAGCAGTCATTGCTAGTATCATGGCTGTTATATGCTAGTATTGTTGTCATTGTTGTAGCTAATGATCAGTATGGCGGGTCTCTGTTGGGGCTCAGGGTTTTGCGCTTAGGGGTTTAGTATTAGGGGGTTTTGAGGCTTCATGTTGGGGTGATCGCAGCGTCGTCCCAACCTTGGTGTCCAGACAAAAGGCATATGCGCCGTTCCAACATGCTCAGAATTTGGACTTCGCGCAGCCGCGTCAACAACCTGAACCCTGTACTCACGCTAGCCTCCTGGTCGTCATTGCCGTGTGGTTCCCGCTTCAAGCGTCAGGCGAGGCGGAGTGCTGTTGAGGTCTGTTTCATTAGTAATCCTATCCCCTACTGTAGTCCATCATAATCCTTGTTGCATGTCATCCCATAGCCCTATTCCAGTGCCGAAGGCGACTAAACTGCAGGAGTCTGCTTCGGAGCAATGAACGAGGCCCACTAAACTTGGTTCGCAAAGACTCCCAAACCCCTTGACAAGGAATACACCTCAAAATCATAATATGAACCGCACCCCCTTTGCCCCCCCCCCCCGCCCTCAAAAAAAAAACCTAAGCTACAAGCCTTACACATTTGGAAAAAAGTAAGCTACAATCCTTACAAACTTGAAAAAAAACTAAGCTACAATCCTTACAAACTTGAAAAAAAACTAAGCTACAATCCTTACAAACTTGAAAAAAAACTAAGCTACAATCCTTACAAATTTGTGGTTTTGGGAGTCGCTGGTTTGAGAGCTGCCGACCCAAGCCTTCCTTCCTTCAGCAGCCCCCTTTTACCACCCGACACCCTTGAGACCCAAGAGTAACCCAGGCATAAAAAGGATGCCCTTTTTGGTTTAAAGGGGCTTATAAGGGAACCTGAACCCTAAAAAAGGGAATAAGGGCCTACTCTGGGTCCTAGCCCTTGAGTCAAGGGTTCAGGGTTCAGGGTTAGAGTTTAGGGTTCAGGGTTAGAGTTTAGGGTTCAGGGTTTAGGGTTAGGATTTAGGGTTCAGGATTTAGGGTTTAAGGAGGCTTTCGCAAAAAGGCTTCAACAGTTGCACCGATGTGTCAAAGTTATTGCCTATTGTGCTGCAAACTTGTCAGGGGATCCTTAGGAATACACTTCCGAAAATGGGTTTGTCTATTTCCTCTCTATACAGATTTAACTGTTAATTGATTCTGATGCTTTCCCAAAGACCTTGTTCTGATCGACCGGGAGCCTGCATTGAACCCCATAGAACTTGACAAAACCTCAACACAGCCTTATACGGAACTACTAATTATAGGGGGTGAAATACTTACCAATATCATTTTGAAGGCTCCTTACTATCATGATAGTATGATGGGCCCCTAAACCCCATATAGCGAAACTATTCTACTTGTTAAAGTACCCGGTTAAAGACCCTGTGTCGGTGGTAGGCCTCATGGCCGACAGGATGTGCCCACGGCATGGTAGGTGCAGAGTTCTCGTCTTGGTTTGAGGAATAATCTTCCCGAAATTCTTCTAAGGGTTCTGAAATAAGGAATCTCCGCTTCCCTAACTTATCATCTGTCCTTTCTTTTGTTCCCTAATTTATGGTGCAGATCCACTGCGATGCACTAAGGCCTGGGCATCAACAATTTCTTGGCTTGGAGGCCAGGACTCAGGGTTTTCGCATTCAGGTCTGTATCAGGGTTTGGGGTTTGGGACTTTAGGCCGCCCGTTAGGCTTTTTGGGGTTTAGGGCGTTTCGTTTTAGGGTTTAGGGCTTAGGGTTTAAGGTTTGGGACTTTAGGCCCTTTAGGCTTCATCGGGCGGCAAAGTAAAAACTGAGCATTCGGATCAAGTGCTCGGGTTTCCTGACGAACCCAAACAGCTTAGCGTCTCGGGGATTTTTGGTAAGCGCCATACAGCCTCGCAGCGAAAAGGACTTGTCGGAAGTCGGAAGCATCGTGAAGCTACAGTCGACGATTCAGTCTCAGTGGTGACAGTGGTTGAGGCTATGTAGATCTTCGGGTCAGCCTGGTTGCCAAGGTCTAGGTTTAAGGCCGGGTTGATTGAGATGCAGGCACGAGGATACTCAGAGTCCACATTTCCATCTCACTGTATCTCCAGGATGAAGTTACAAGGATCTTCCTGTTGACGAGATGCCAAACCCTAAACCCAAGCCCCTGAACCCTACACCCCCTCTAAACCCTGAAATCCAAAGCCTTAAACCAAAATGGGCTCACAGTATGCTCCGGGTCGCCTTTCAGGGACGGCCGGTTGCTGCAAGAGTGATCCTGCCGCCCGCTGAACCCTAAACCCTGAACCCTGAACCCTCAACCCTAAACCCTGAACCCTAAACACTCAAATTTACTGAACCCTATAAACCCTAAACCCTCAAACTTACTGAACCCTCAACCCTAAACCCCTCAAATTTACTGAACCCTCAACCCTAAACCCCCAAATTTATTGAACCCTCAACCCTAAACCCTCAACCCTAAACCCCCAAATTTACTGAACCCTCAACCCTAAGCTCCTAAAACCCCCCCCAAGGAGGGCCTCCAGAGCCTCTAGGGTTCAGCGTTTAGGACCTCAGGGGCCCCTGAGCCGCTTTACATGTAGGATTTGGGCTCGTGGAGCCCAAAAGGCTCCTTTAAGGGCTCGCTTTAAGGGGCCCTTTAAGGGTTCCTATACTAGACCCAAGAGTATCCTGGTAATAAAAAGGGCGCCCTTTTTGGTTTAAAGGGGCTTATAAGGGAACCTGAACCCTAAAAAAGGGAATAAGGGCCGACTCGAAGTCCTAGTGGGGTTTAGGACCTAGGGGTAGGTTCGAGGGGGGTTTAGGGTTTAGGGTTCGCGAAGTTTAGGGGTAGGTTCATGTAGGATTTGGGCTTTAGGGGTAGGTTCAGGGTTCGGGGGCTCAGGAAGTTTTGGGTTCACGAAGTTTAGGGTCTTCGGACAATGTGTTGGAATGTAGACAAGAAAGACACGGAAACACATCCTCCCATGATTGCCAGGTGCTTCAGAGAACATACGTACTGCCACAGACTGGAAGTTGGGGGCCGACATGATACAAAACCGGCATGAGAGACCATGCAGCAACCCCGCCGGCAACTAGACGAAGCCTTTCTGCAATGTCAGCAGCGATGCACTACCATCTACATGACGTTATGCGCCATTCTCTGTCTGGAAGTGCCTGTACTTTTCGGGGTATCTCTGTGTCAGGTTTGTATATCGTCGTCGAGCATCGCGGCAGCCTGTTTTGCTCGTGCGCTGCTGTTCGCGCGAAAAGTCGAGTTTGTTCCAGAAACATAAGGTCGCAAGGCTGCATCGATCATCGTCCAAGAAAGGGCCCTCTGCAGGAAGCGGCTCAACCATCAGGACCCTATGGAAGCCAAATTCAAACCTAAACTGGAAAGCCTGCATCCCAAAGTTCAAAATATAAGTGCACAGAAAAAGTCAAGTTGCTCTACAGCTAGAGTGTGCCTCTGCATCTTTTGAATGTGTTTCGTCGCACAATGAACTGCAGACTTCGTGTGTAAGGCTGGAACGCTACCAATATAGCGGCTCAATAATTAGAATAGGGTTTTGGGGCCCATAATATTATATGTATATTAAGGGGCCCCCAAAATAGTATTGGTAATTATTCAAGCCGCCATAATCCTTGGAACAGTTCTGTGTGAACCCCATGAAGATCGGCCTTTGCTTGGTTTAGGGTTTTACTGGCTTTGGGGTTTAGGGTTTAGGGGTTTAGGGCATTACACTGTTGGACTGGATGTATCGTATAATGCTTGAAACCACCCTAGCACATTTCTATAGACCATAGGCTCCGTAGTAGTTCCTTTTGGGGGCTTTAAATTTAGAACCCTATAAAGGAAGTCCCCAAAAGGAACTACTATGGAGCCTATGGGTAGACTTTAGAACGTCAAACCACTGCGGCCATGCCATTCGAGGCTTCTTTCCCGGACCTGACGTTGCCATGACCTAGTGCTGTCTGCGACGCTGTGCCCGCACTCCACGGGTCTTTTCCTGCAAGCAACGCCGCGTCGTTTCCGTATTCACGGGCTCTCAGACACGAACGGTAAACCCTAACCCTGTATGAACTGGCCTTGCCTTCTGGCTTTCGGGTCGAACATCCTGAGTGTGTTGCACGAAACTCTTGAGAGAGTGCCCAGATCCGCAGCTGCCAGTAAACGAACACGCCCCTCTTCCGCTCATATCTGCGCAGTGCACACATACATACATACAAACAAACATGTATATACATACATACGCAGCATACGTACATACATACACCCGTACTATAGTACATGCACTTACATGCATACAAACAAAAAACAAACAAACAAACATACATACATACATACAGGCCTGCACAGATGCAAACATAAGTTTACGCATAGATATGCGCATGGGCACATGCAAACCCCGCTCGAAGAGGGCATACGATGGAGAAGCCAGAAAGCAGCACACCGAGCAGCCAGAAAGCGACAAAAGCGACAAGCCGAAGAAGATGAAAGAAGGCGAAGCCAGGAAGCTGCAAACTCTTTCTGCCGGTAGTTGAAAAGTCTAGATATGATAACCCTGTAGACAAGATCCTGTAAACCCTGAACCTCATGGTGATCTAGTTCACCTTGAAGACAAATCGAATTGAAGTCTTCCTTGACGGTGATTTGACGTAACTATGACTCTCTTAAGGGAGCCACATGCCTCGTCATCTAATTGGCCATTCGCATGAATCTGTGAATGGATGATAGCGAAATTCCCACTTTCTCATGAGGCCTGCACCCTAAACCGCAAACCCTAAACCCTAAACCGTAAACCCTAAACCTTAAACCCTAAACCCTAAACCGTGTGAGTTTCAGGTGTGTTGGAGGTTTAGGATCGAGCTTTAGGATTTAATGCTTGGGGTTTCAGGTTTGGGGCTTTGGGGTTTAAGGTTTAGGGTTTGGGGTTTAGGGGTTTCAGGGGATAGGGTTTAAGGGTTTTTTTTGACATGATGGCTGAACCCTGACGGTGCACACTCCATGCAAGTCTGGGGGTTTAAGGTTTAGGGTTTGGGGTTGAGGGGTTTAAAGTTTAAGGGGATAGGGTTTAAGGTTGAGGGTTGGAGGTTGACGTTTTACGAGTTTTCGGGCCCGAGATCAGAGTTTCGGGTACGGCGGCGTCACTCAGGAAACTTAAGCATGGTCGGAAAGCGTCATGTATCTCCGTCTCCGCACGGTGCTGGCCGCTTTCGATATCGATATGTTAAGCACCCATGGAAGAGATTAGAATGGACTGCCGTGCTTAGCTTGAGGCTTCAGAGTTTAGGTTTAGGGTTTAGGGCTTGTAGGTTTCGACAACTCATTCGAAGTTCCCAATCATGCTTAAACAAAAATACAATCGAAGTCCGTCGATGTAAATAGCTCAGGATAGCTCGGATGAAAGGGTAACGGTACTTTCTAAGCTGAAAATTCCAGGCCAGTGCCTCTACACACTAGTAATGTGGGGGTCGGTTTAGGAATATAGGCTCTTTTAATGCGTCGGCTCCGGGGCTAATTCCGAATCTGACAAAAAAAATGGGTGTTCTAATTAATGCGTTTTTTTTTTGGCTGGGGTGATTTTTTGGTGGCGGGGCTGTGCTATTTGCTGATGGTCAATCTTAAGGCAGCCACGACCTAAACCCCCACCCAACCCCCACCCAACCCTAAAACCCTGGCCCTGAAGCCCGAAAATCTCTTGCAGAATTGTTTCGCTTATTGGGGCGTCAGGAATGAAAATCTGTACTACTACTGTACTACTACTGTACTACTATTCTACTATACCTTGATTATTGGGGGGGGCTGCTAGGGTGAACCGCCGAATCGGGGATTGGACCCTAGCTCAAAAGAGGCCTCTCCAGTACTAAAGTTTGTATAAAAAATTAAGTTTTGGGTCGAATCTGGACCGACCCCCTTTGGAAGGGTTTAGGGCTTAGGGTTCAGGGTTTGTTATAGGGTTTAGGAGTGTAGGATTCTTTAGGGTTTAGGGTTCGGGGTTTAGGGTTTCAGGCGCTGGCTTTATGCTTTGCTTATTGGGGGAATGTACTCACTGGCTTTATGCTTTGCTTATTGGTACTATTTCTGTACTATTACTGTATGTACTACTGTACTACTGTGGTACTACTACTGTACTACTAGTGTACTACTGTACTACTATTGTACTACTACTGTACGATTACTGTACTACTATTGTACTACTGTACTGTTATCGTACTACTACTGTACTACTATTGTACTACCACTGTACTACTGTTGTATTACTATTGTACTACTGCACTATTATTGTACTACTACTGTACTACTACTGTACTATTATTGTACTACGGTACTATAATCGTACTACTGCTGTACTACCACTGTACTACTATTGTGCTACTATTGTACCTTGATTATTGGGGGGGGCTGCTAGGGTGAACCGCCGAATCGCGGATTGGACCCT